TAAATGATCATGAGTAAGCTCAGAACAGACGCCTCGAGTTAAAAAAGGAATTGACATTAGCCAGCGGCGGTCGATGTGACTGAACACCGGCCCCACCTGTCATTTCAACCGGTGAAAGCAGCGGCGTGTATTCCCTAAAATGAAATAATTTTGCGTGAGGAAAAATACAGGGAGCCAGGTTTCACTTCTGCAAAAGAACAGCATTGGGTTTCTAAACAAAAACAAGGATGGAGCGGAGGCGTCGAAGCAGCTGTTTGGTTGCATCAACACTGCTTTTGGTGCATTTTTGGGAATTTAAAGCAACAGGTGCACTTCAAACCACTGCAATCATCTCCTGGTCAACGGTCTCTCCTCGTCTTGCATGACAATTGCTGTAATCACTTTAAATGACCATTCAACCGCTTTCAGTTGGAACATATTGACTTACGTTTCAACTCTTTTTTTCCCAAAAGTAACATTATTGCATATTTCAGCTCTGACAATTCAGACCTTTTGCCTTCTTCTATTCCCACAACTATTTTCAACTTGAAATATCTGCCTCCATTTTCTACTGCTTAACGGTTCTGTTTGAAGCGCTTTATAATTTCAATTCAAGATTGCCATCATTCACGGTTAGCACTGTTATTACGTTTCCTTATCAGTGCGGTAACTAAATAGTGGGGATGAATTATTAGGTAATACACTCGGGTTCAGACATCAGGCAAGTGGCTCTCATTTAGAAAAAAACACGCCGCGGGCTCCTATATCGACGTCTTTGAGACAGAAAGATGCACCACTGAGCTCAGATTCTGCTTTGTTTCCAGATCTCATCTTTATTCCTCTCACTGCTTCCCTGTCAGCCTGCTCACTGTTTCAATAAAACACTTAAAGGAGCGCACAAGGCCTTCAATGAATCACAATATCTTAATTTAGCAAGTACAGAAATAGATGGCAAATTGTCTAAGGTGAATGCGGTGTAGATATTTTAAGAACCCTATACAGGTAGAGGGAACTGCCGCAGACGTCTTGAAAAGCGCTTCGATAAAAATACAAAAACAACTGAGATCAAGACGTACAGAGGCCCGAATGAACTTCCTCTTATGAGAGAAACAACCTCTAAACCCTGAAATCCAGTGAGAGCACTGGATCTAGACAAAGGTATTTTTTCATCCATGTTCCTGCTTACCCAACAGCAAGTTAATTCCAGCCCACTCTCCTTGAACTCATCTAAACATTTTTATTCCCGTCCTCCGAAACGTCGGGGGGATTTATGTGGTCCCTGCTTTCTGTCGGTGGCCTATTTAATGCTACAATGCACACTCCTCACGAGCTGAAACGAAAACATCGCTCTTCACATTTGTCAGTCATGTTTCCTGCCACTCAAAACGCCGTGAATCGTATTTTCAGGAACGTCGCGGCCCGGGTTTATAGCCACTGAAACAACAACAACAACAGGGAAGGGGAAGGCATGGGGGGCCCACCTGTGTGCCAACACTACTTCTGGGTACTGCAGTGCCACTCGGTGGACAGCTTTTTAAGCAACCGGTGACTGCAAAGGTCCACAGTCTTCGTCTTTTAAGGAAAATCAACATAGTTCATCGCGAGAGCTTCAATTTCAGTTTCTTTGGAGTAGATGCTGTCAGATAAAGGTGAGGTTTCAACTCCCACACGAGTGCAACACTGAATGATGGGATAGAGCCGAAAGCGCAGAGGTCATGGTTCACCTATTTCCTCGGCGAGGGATGGAGGGTTGTTCATGTTCCGTATCTACCACAAGTCGTTTCACTTCAGTTCAATCAGCAAAGGAGCCCGGAAACGCTGAACGTCACGTTTGACTGGTACCATTCAGGACAAGCCAATAGTGAGGATTCAAATTTGAATGAAACCGACAGAGGACACCATGTGTTGCATTGCCTCGGGCTCAGTCGAGGGTCGCACCTTTCAAAAGGCAACACATTAACACTGCCAACGCCAATGAGTCAAGGTAATTAGGTGCAATTTAGGTAAAGGAGGTCCACTAATCAAGACTTGCTCACCACAGAACAGAGTAGAAGTTTAGATGTTTCAGCCGATGTGGCACATAAAAGGTTCAGTATGAGAAAGACAAAAAAAGATATTTAAAGGAAAGGTAATTATGTCCGGATGACACAACAGGATGTAATTAAACATGTGTTAAGTGGATTTTAAGTGCGTCAAACAAAGAGGAACTACCTGCGTAGACCTCACTCAGAAGTGACTCATCATTATGAAAGGCTATGTGAAAGAAATGCTCTGGACTTCTGATAATAAAAAAAAAAAAGACAAAAGGCTTTTCGCACCACATTGATGGTGAGAAAGACTATAATCCTAACTTTTTAAATTACGAAGCACTCCGTCCAAATTATAGTGCTGAGAGACGGTTCATTTTCTTCCCGACCGCGAAATCGTTCACTCACTTCGAGCACAGCGGGGGACACTGGAAAGGGTTGATGGAGGAACAAATCCTTCAACCAAAAGTGAAGGAATTATGTTTCGTAGATGCAATCTGAATTTTACAGTAACTTTCTACAAGATATGAACCCCAACAGAAAAAAAGCCTGTCCATTTTCTTTTCTTGATGCAGATACTTAACTTTGGTTAGAGGCATGGACGCTATGTGATATCCACCAATAAGCTGTCGTCATTTAGCTTTCTTACTGCTTTTCTAAAATGGCTACCACCATTAATAATACACATAGTCTGTCAGATTTAAATGTATTCATGTTCTCGGTGGCTGTCCATCTACCGTCAATAGCTATTGAAAGCTGTATCACTAAAATATTTACAATTCAACAAATTTAAACATTTGAGCACATAAAATAAGAATTACAAGACTGAAAGTTGAGATGGCAGCTCCACTGCACCGCTAAGCTAGTTAGCATTAGCAGGGGATCAGCAGATTTTTTTTTAAAGAATCTCTTTCACTCACAGTCAACAGCTGAAGTAAATAATAAGTAGTAGCATGGTTTTAGCTAAAGCTGGCTGTGGCTAACTACGTAAATACACATATTATGGCATATACGTGTATAAATATATTCCAAACTCTAATACATAACTCCATAAATGGAGCTCTTATTGTGAGCAGCGGCAACAGCGCAGGCAACAAAATAACCAAATGGTTCAATTAAGCCGCCTTTTGCTGAATGTAGCCAGCGATTACCGCTCTGCCGAGGGTTCAGGGCACCTCGCCATTCGCCATTTGCGTGACCCGGAGCTGAGAGTCAGAGCTTTTATTCAGGGCAAAGTTGTCCCTGGTGGGTAAACTGCTGACACGGCGTCTTTACAGTCCCTTCACAGTGTCCTGACATTTTCTCTTTCCCACCTTCTTTTCCCTCTCACACACCAAATCAACACGTATGTTAAAAAAAAATAGAAAATAAGCAGTATTCCTTTTAAAAGCATCAAGAGGTAGTGCTTCACATTCAGGGCTAAATAAAACACGCCCTAAAGACATTCAAAGCTCTACTTGAAGACATTCCAAACGCGGACTGCGCCAAAGACTTTGTTCAGTCGGACCAGCCGTGTTTTCAGCTTGCGTCAGAAGCTTGCCGGTCAAAGAATTTGAGGGGGAACGTCATGTCCCTGAGGGGCAGTTATTGGCGGGCCAAACCCACCGAAACGGCCACACAATTTTCTCCCAGGGAGGTTTGAGGAGTAATTGAATGAAATGTGTGAAGTGCAGAAGAGCAGCGGTTGTGAGTGTGCGTTCAAGTGAGGGAGGGGGAGGAGGAGGGGGGGGGGGGGCTGAAACACACACACTTCCTGTCAGTGGTCCGCCTAATGTTTCAGTTCAGAGAAAACAAAAGTGCATTCACAGGGTCAAAGCTTCACCGTAAAATGACCCGTAAAAGGAACCACAGTTTTTTTTTTTATTTCTTTTACTGGAAATGGAAGCTGCTGGCGGCGGAGTGAATGAATTATAGAAACTGACTGTAACAGTTATGTCTCTTCACACATCGAACATAGTCTCCTCTCACACACACGTTACTATTATTACACCTCTATTACTTATTTAATATGTCCCATTGCTTTGGCTTTTATTAAATAGGGAGCTATGAATATTTTCCAGGTCTCAACCTGTTCTTGTGGGTTTATACGGCAAGGGAAGCAGTCAGGCTTTGGTATTTGTGTGTGTCCAAACACCTCATCAAAAAAGTGTGACCTTTTTTATTATTAAGTATGTGAAATGTCAGTTTGGATATGCCGTGTCCTTCCACTCTATTTCTATAAAACACACTGTCATTAGGTGAGAACCAGGACACACAGCCGGAAAAGGACAATTATATGTGAACGTCTTCCTGACTGTGAAACTCACAGAGTTGGAGCTCCCTCTATGGGTGAGCACGGTCACATGACTACGCTGGACTCCCAGTGAGTCCACAGGATGTCAGCTCTTATGAGAATTTAATTCTGACCTTTCTTTTTACAACCACATACATACATACAACTATTATAGTGAACTTTCACGGTTTTTAAATCAATTTAGAAATCATATCCTTTGCTGTGACCAGACAGTGCAAACACAAATACAGAATCCAAACTCAACAATTACTTTTTTTTAATCCGAATGAATTCAGATCAATTATATTTACCTGTCACCAAAAAGTATGACAGTGTTGTTTGCATAACAATGCAGATTAAAAAAAGTACAGAACTCGCCTGCTTCTACAACACCATTAACTACAGCACAGAGACACACGTGTATCACTTTGAATGTGGTTGTCAGTAATGCTAGGTGGCTCGTTTGAATAAACTGTGACTGTGCTTATACGTGGATCTGTGTGGGTGGAGGGACAAATTCCGAGGCTCTGTAGGAATAGCTTACTGTTATTTTGAGTATGTGGTAGAGAGAGAAGCTTATACGTGGGTGAGGAAGGAGTCTCGTATCTGTGAGTACGATGGTGTTTGTGATGACTGTGTACATTTATGTGTGCGCTTAAAGCACAGAGAAAATTTTTCGGCAGTTTAATAAGGTTTTTGTTGTTTTTAAAAGCAGAGGGGGGGGGGGGGGGGGGGGGTGGGTTGCCTATTCACAGTCCTCTCCCGGTGTAGTGGTGTCAGTGACTCCATAGTGCTTCAGCCTGGCCATCACTCTTTTCCCCATCTGGTTGAGCTCAGACATGTAGGTCGCCTCCAACTGAAGCTCCCTCTGGTGCCTGTGACGGGAGGATTCAACGTTACCGAGGAAACAGACTCAAGCATTTAAACAGTGGCTAAACTAGACCCCATAGAGCACCTGAGCTGGAAATCCATTTAAGCTCTAATAAAAGCTCTTATTAATGTTAGTGTTGATTATAATATGCAGCATTTTTTAATTTAGAGTAATACTTGTCAGACCTAGTATTTATTTGGCTAAATATTATGATTTCAACCCAGAATCACAATGTTATCATAAGCATTTATATCCAGAACTTACTTTGAAATTAATTAATTAATAAATCAGTATAACAGCAAGTATTAGTATGATGATAGAATGATGTGCATGACTGGAATTTATGTTGGCTGAGTTAACAGTTAATCCTCAATCATGGGTCTTTTCTACAATTACGCATATATTTTACATACATATATATATTATAAGTCTAAAGCCAACAACGCAATCTTGATCAATGATGAAACACTGTGACCAAAACAAGATTGAATTCCTTCTTGTTTCATTTGAATGAAAAAGTAGCAGCAGAGAGTTCCTGCCTCCAGGTGATCAATTTGCACATTCATTAACTTCATGTCTGGTTTATCCTGAGGATGCTCTTTCTTAAATCTAAAAGCACAGCGTGTTCTAGGATATCCGTGTCTTCATGTAGACGTGCTTGAACATTTGTCTAATCTATTACATAGGACGTGGTTTGATTAATGTCAATAAGCAATCCATCTGCCTAAAGAGGCTGGCATCAGGATCACTGCCTTAGTAACACACACATCGTGCCAGACTCACCTGACAGTTGTTCCGCTGGTCAGGTTGCTATTGGAGACCAGAGCTTCTGCACATAAGAACTCTGCTCGGATAATCTCCGGGGTTAGTTGCACGCCGGGGCCTTCGGACCTGAACAAAAAACAAATACGCAGCGATTACTACTGGAGAAAAAGCTTCCAAAAACGAGTTCAATGGATGCCGGTGCAGCGTGCACTTACTGTGTGTCCATTAGTGGCGGCAGATCGTCAGGAGGTCCGGGGAGAGGAGGAGGTGCTATGAGTGGAAGTGTGTCGGTGCTGTAGTTGATAGACCTATAGAGGACACACACACCGTTTTCCCCCTGAAGAGCCAGACCACACATCACCGGAACGAGATAATGGTCGGATATCTACTTCATCTTACGCAGATCGAAGGGCCGCTTCGGGTTGTTTGAAATCGCAGTTTGATCGGGAATGAAAAAAATCTCCCGAGTGAAAGTTGCTGCCACGTATGGGTGTGAAATATAACTAAATAGAGGGTTTGGATTTGGAGCCGCCGCCCCCAGGCCCTGGACAGGACGGGTACATGGGAGCACGGTTTGCAATTTGCAAAAAGTACGTCAGGTCATTTGGGGTCTTTGTTACCATTGTTTACCATTTAAATCATATCAAGTCCTCCTCTCCTGAACTTGCACTGGTCATTTGTTAGCAGGCAGACATTAGATTCCTTAAATATCAAACCTGCAGCAAACCATCGTCCACGTTCAGGCAGCAGAAAGAAGACTTGACTATGTTCAAAATGTCAAATTGAGTAAGTTGTTCGTTCCAGCTGCACAGTGCGTGGAAATGCCCGTTTTGTGTACGCAAGAAATTCCCTGAATTTACGGTGCAGCCATATAATGGTGGAATGAAATGCAAATGGCTAAAATAATTAACCGGTTGGATAAATGCATGGCAAGAAACCTTAAAGTACGATTTAAGCAGAACATGACAAACAATATGTGCTTTAGAACATTTAACAAAAAGAATAAATCATCTTCAATATTTGCTGGCTCAGACCGATAACGTGCTAGTCAATACATGTCACGTGCTGCAGAGAAGACAAATGAGTTCAGTGTGAAGAGTCTTAATTGTTAATTCAGTCCACGCAACATAGTGATTGAGTACTTAGTATTCAGTGCTTAGCATGTAAATTTGTTCGGAAGCAGCGGCTGTGTCGACCAGCTTGTCTCTTGACACTTTCTGGCGCTTGGTACCGAGCGGGTGGTTAACAGCGGCTTGATGCTTCAGCAGAAAGCAACCCAAAAGTAAGCATTTCAACCATGAGGGGTTTCAGTTGAATCCAGCGCACCACATGGGACAGCCCCCTGCTGTGTTCACTAAAGCAAAACGGCAAAATATTATAATTTATTCACTGTCCATTTTGGTTCAAGAATGAATAAATCACTATTTCACGGTTTAAGTGAACACAGTGCTGGACTAGTATTTCTCCCTAAGTATACAATACTGGCAAGAAGGAAGTATTTGACAGTACTTTTCTCCCCAAATGGTGGAACATTTGTATTATTCCTTTAAAGATTAGTCAAACAAACTGAAACTAGGGCAGATCACTGCAGTCGTAAAAACGAACATCACTTCAATCTGCACTGCAATCAAGAGAAATCGTGCGTGTTTGTGTTTGGGGGAGTGGTGTGTGGTTGCGTGTGTAGGTGTTTCGGTGTGGGTTTGGATGAAATCAGAGAACACGTTGCTAAAAATGTTTGATAAAAGTAAAACTGCTGAATACTAGAAGACTAAAGACACACCTCTTCAGACTCTACCTCGACTAAAAGACTGACAAATTGTAGCACTTAAATTGTACTTCTAATGGCACTTATCCATAGAAAATTGGCTTATTTGATGAAATTGCACATTCTTGTTTCTTGCTCTTCTGAGTTTGTATCCCTGTGGTTTAATGTACTTATTGTGAGTCGGTTTAGATAAAAGCGTCAGCTAAATGACACAAAAAAAGGAGCGCATTCATACTGGTTGACTTGAAGTCTTAATAAGATATGACCAGACACTGGATGACACCACAAGTCAACCAAAACAAAACAATATACAAATATGCCACAGAGATGAGGACATAGCTCTGCGGGAAGAGAAGGTGGAAGCATGTAAACTACTGCACATGAGTTAATAATGAGCCTTAGTAATTGCCCATGTAGCCCTAACCAAAGACAACAATAGGGAAAGCCAGAGAAAGTGAAGTGATTTGAAAGCTGTCAAATAAACAAGTCTGGACTCCAGAAGGAAACGACACACATGCCCGCTCTCAGTGTAGAAATCTGCATCCAACTAGATCCAAGTCTGCCGCCGACTAAAAACACAAAGAACCGCCGGACCACAACACCTACCCGTCACTGTCAACAAGTCAGTACAGCACCGTCGTGTTTCTGTGGCGCCGCCTCGGAGATGATAAACGAGATTTCAAGCCATTAAAAACTTTGAGCAATTTGACAGAAACCTTAATAACGGCTGAATTAAATCTTGCGTCGTGTTATTGTGGCCGCTGTTACCACTCACAATCCGAGCTCCATTTACAGATAATAGATGGTGTTATCTATTAGAGTTTGGAGCATATTTATACACATACACGCCAATAATGTAAACTTTGCAGTAAATACAACATCAAAACGATTTTGAGTTGATGCACAAGCTGCAGTAACCACAATAGCTGTGAAGAGTTAGCTATAGCTAAATCTGTGTTACTACCTAATATTTACTTCAGCTGTTGACTGTCATTGAAATAGATTTAATTAAAAAAAAACAAATCCTTCCACAGCCTTGAAAGATATGGACAGCAGAAGAAAGCAACAGCCCCTTTCCCCTCTGCAAACAAGCAGTCTAAACACGTACGAGTCCTTTTTCATGCCTCCACAGTCCAACTTGAGGTTCTCTGTGGTTTTACGAGGGAACCTCTGGTGCATTACACCCAGTCTTTTAGCGTCTGGCTGCTGTCAGTGCAGTTTGAGGGCACTCTGGTTCTACCTGACATCTTACACATTGATGAAGTTTAGTTCTGGCCTACCTGAGAGGCGCATACCCACTGGTGAGAGCTGGTCGTTTGGACAGAAACTTGCAGGTTGGCGAATCAAAATTCTTCCATGTCATGAGCCCTGCAATCACTTCCTGTACATGCACATTGGTCCAATCAGGTATAAATCAGGAACTTGTTTCAGATTAAATGCATAGTACAGATAGTTCATTTTGTGTATGAGGGCTTCGCTGATTTCAAATGTACCCTTTAAAAACACTAACTGTCAGGTATAAAAGGTTCTCTGTGTTCTGCGAGATAAAATGAATGTTTTTTGTCAAAGTGGCTTTGAGGATAACAGAGATAGCTGCTTCACTTCCCGTCAGAAAAGACTCTGATGGAACGGTACAGTGGGGAAGGTTCTCTGGTTAAAGTCTTCATTTACATTTCTCCAAAATGGGTTCAAAGTAACTGAGTGCAAAGGCTCTGAAAAGAAGTTACCTTGTGATCCAGCGGCTTCTGGGTGTGTGGGGTTTGTGTGCTTCTGCCACACATGTTGCTCTCGGGGATTGTGTACCTGCATATAGAAAGAAAAACAATTGTGTCTATCGCTGGGTGTTATCTCATGTAAGCACAGAGAATATTTTATTTTCTTAGATAGAGACGTACATGCTATAACCATGAATAGCTATGTGTTGTTATTACCGTGGCAGAGGGCAGAGGTGGAATTCCGGGTCACTTTCCAGGTATTTAGGGGTTGGTTTGTAGGTCTGCAGGCCTGGATCCGGGTTCTAGAATGCATGAAATAAACACATAGTAGTTTAAATCAGTGGTCCCCAACCTGTTTTACCTCACAGACCGTTTTCACGTCAGACAATATTCTGCGGACCGGTCGAGAAGGTCCGGCGGAATAACGGGAGGGGTAGTTGTCTTTGCGGGCGGATGACCGACGGGGGGGTTGGGGGGGGGGGGGGGGGGTGTAGTAGTCGCGCGCTCTCTGTTCGCTGGTGGGCAAAACTGCCGTGCACGTTTTGCACGTGCACGTAAGAGGACAATTGTAAACGTGAAGAAAAACGCCTGGTGACGCGTGGGGAATCTGTCAGAGGGACGAGTGCACATAATTAGGAGAAAATCGGGTCAATTTTCTAAATAAAACATTTTTCAGAAAAAAAAATATATATATTCTTTCTGTGGTGCGGCCCACGGACCGGTAGCGGTCTGCGGCCCGGTGGTTGGGGACCACTGGTTTAAATCATACTGACGTTTGTACAATGACGATGGTATATATCACTGGCTTACAAAGATTCGGAGTGGGTTTGCCGCAAAAGGTCTTAGTAGAGCTTCGGGGGCAGTGAAGGAGAGTTGGGCGACCTTCACTTCGCCCTCGTCATCATCATCCTCATCATGCGACGGTCCCTCCGGTGCTTCGTACTCGACTGAACGCGCTCTGACCTCATCGGGCACCAGTTCGTCCTAAAATGTGGCAACAATACCATGAGAGACGTTTTCATGAGATGATGTGAATGAGCGGGGAAATACATTTATACATTTCTCTCATATTGAAATGTGTACGTTGTATTCCCAGAAACAGAGTGTTACCGGAGCTCCAGTACGAAGTGGTCGGGCCAGAGTTGCGGGCGTGTAAGAGTTAAAAGCCTCCCAAGCTGACACAGGCCGGTAGCCCATTAGCTTGTAGTGCTGGGGAACCTAGTGACAGAACAATACAAACAGGGAATTATCACAGTAACGTAGACACAGAGCAACCGAGATGAGGAACACACAGAGCTGTGACGTGGAAAGCCTCAACAGTTTTTAGTATTTGTGGATGCAGCCACAGGGGCTCTTCCCATTCAGCTGGGAAGTCACGTGTTTAGACTATGAATTGTAAACCCAAGCAAGCAGAATGTCAAACATAGAACTTGTCAAATATAATCTGCGTATGGGTCGAACAGCGGTGGAGGAAGCTACATTCTGGCAGGGGTGAGAGATTTTTGTTCCAAGTTCAAGCTCAGCCCCTACAATGACTTTATAATAAGCTGTAAAGCCAAAACCCAGTAATAAGCCCATTAAAAGTTTTTTTCTTTCACAAGAAAGAATCATGCATCTTATCATATCACCCTTTGAACCTCAAAAAAATAGTATTTATGCCATTCCACCGCAAACACATGCTATGTTCCTGGTTTGCTGCACAAAAATGTAAATGCATCAATTATATATATCATACAAACTCATATTTAGTCTTGAGATGTTGCAGGTGCTTACTTGGAGCTTGAAGAAAGGAACGCATGTTGTCACAGTCACATCGACAGGCTCCACAGGCATCGGCATCAAACTACCGGGAGCCTGGAAATATCAGACAAATTATTTGTTTGTGTGAAAACCGAGCTTTGTTTTCTGCGTTGCTTCCAGAATAAGAGAGATTTAATTAGTGCTGGGAATGTGAGCTTCCTCTTCAGTTCCATGGCTAGATTAAAGAAAACATTCAAGGCAGAGATAATGGATGAAAACTGTTTCATGTGTGTTAATTGGCTGCACACACTTTTCAAAGGTCAGAGCCTATTTAGGCAGTTTAGGATCTCAATTAACAACGGTTAACAAAGAAGTGGTTTGGCGGTCCTGTTGCAGGCTGCTGGTTCTATTTTTTGACATGATGGGGAAGCATATGTCATACTAACAACTTGTTATCTGCAGTAGGGCTCTCATTTTTATCATAAACTCACCAATGGGTCATTTTCATCAGCAAAAACAGGGAAAGCAAAAGGGAAAACTTTGTCTGGCGAGATCTTCAGATCACAACTCGACTCGTCTTCAACTAAGAAAAGTGAAAGAATAAACACGTTAAGAGCTGTAGTTTTCAGGGTCAGTAAAAAACGCAGCAACTCTTAATGCATGATTAAATTCAGGCAGCATTATAAATAGCCCTTTCCCCAAGGCATGCATGTATGTTCCAGGACGCTCACCACAGCAAGAAGAAGAATCAATTTTACCTCTGAGAATGAACTCAAGTAAGCATGCTTTACTGACCGGGCAGGATGAGATTAATTCCGAATGAGGAGATTATGGGATAATCAAAATCTTTCTTTGCCAAGGGCAAGTTCCACATGTTGTTCTTCAAACAGGCCAGTCTCCGGTTCATGCGACATCGGATCACCATCTGCAAGGGAGAGCAGAGCTGTTAGCTCATGGTCACATCAAGCTCCAATCTCAGAAGGAGGGACGTGGAGTTGATTTACCATTTTTGCAAAGTGAAAAAATAACTTTAATTATCTTGCAACTAGGGAAGGAGAAGCAAACTCTTTCTGTGTCATACAGAGGCCGTGTACAGTAAAGAAAAGCATATATTAGCACGAGGAGTTTAGAGGCTGAACTAGAGACGGGACACAGAAGCATGCGTACGCCTCTGATGTATCTGTGCATCTATGCAAATGGATCCGCATAGATGCATGTGCACACATTCCTCTGTGACTCTACGGCTCGTGGGTTTGTTTACCTTGCGCGCCGCCTGCTGGAACAGTCTGAGGACTCTTCGTCTCAGCTCCCACTGAAAACTGGAGTGGAACTGGAAGGATGGGCCTCCCTCGCAGGCCTGAAAGAGGTCGGAGCGCTTATTGCTGACTTTCTTGCGCTGATTTGACGGGTGCGAACAAAATGGATTTCATGAGGAATCAACTTGGAGTATTTAATAGAAAAAATGACAGTAATATATGAATTAATAATAAATAAAGGAGAGCCAAGTGTTTTCTATAAAGAAGAAGAAGAATAAAACACAATCTTGATGTGTAACAACCTCCACACATACTAACATAATATGAATCTAATCAGCATTAACTGAAGATGGCGCGTACTGTAATGTTGCAGATTTTAATGTGGAGACACTTGAGTGCGACACATGAAATAAGGGTTGGTTTAGTGGCCCGCACACGGGGCAAAGCTGCTCAAATCCTGAAGTAAGTGATGCTCTTCATCGCGCCCCCAGGTATCTTAAACACAGCGGACTCCCTACCTGTCCTGCTTCACACAACACTCGTTTGGAGGAAAGTTCAGGCTTCCCAGCAGCAAAGTCTTCCTCGTGCCGTCCATCTCCCCTTTTGACCTACAACAAGAAGAGTGCAAAGGGAGATTGGTATATGACAGGGGGCAAGAAGGGGACGCTGCACTGACTATATTTGCATTGCAATGCAAGATGTTGCAATGGAAAAACTATATTCCAACCAGTTCATCCTCTGGAGTAGGGATGCCTTGAAATGATTTATCAAAGGAAGAAATAAGCTTGAAGAGGTATGTCTTAACTCTTTGGAACCGTAGCAACCAAGACAACTAACCCTGTCGAGTATGGTCTCGTTCGTTTGTGGGAATGTCATGTAAAGGTATCACTGAATTGCCTGACTATGACATCATGTTTCTGACGGAAATCAATAAAAGAAAGTAAAATTGTCGTCGTCTCAATCCTCGTGCTGGAAAGAAATTCATGGTTAAGCAGGAAAGGTTTTAAACCATTGCTGTGAAACAAAGAGGAGCACGCATTTGCTTTTGAGTTATTTATGTTCTTGCCTGAAGTCAAGACCCCAACGACACTCTATAAAAGATACTAGATCACCCCGTTGTAAAAACAGCACATAAAGTACTACTAGAGTGTGGTAAAATTAGGCTGTAAACAGTTTATGGCGTGTGTGTGTGTGTGTTATAAACAGTGTAGGTGGAGAGGAGTCAGAGGAGGAAGTCCTGTTAAGTGTCTGTGAGAATTCTGTCAACTATTCAAATAACTTTTTACTGAGGAAACACAAACACTTGTATCTCAAAAGTAATCCTATTTTATCAATGTTCTGTAGATTTCCTGTGTGAATCAATATAATCAGTCACAAGGGCAGCATGACAGGGTGCAAATCAAAGTGTGGATCTAACAACACAGCAGCTGGATCGGGGTGTGACATCGCAATGCGCAGGGTGCCTCGCTCCCAACACATCTAGTAAATGTCACGTTGACTGAAATAGGCCTTAGATGAAATGCAATGCTAAATCTGTCTCTCCTAATGAATGCAGAGTTAGCAATAGGACGTCAACCAAAAATATCTTAAAAAGTTTAACAAAATTAACAAAAGAAGTCGTTCCCATTCTGTGTGCAGGGGTCTGTAACACAACCACCTGTAAGAATAACAAAGGCCACTGAAGTGAAAATCTTACCATGTATTCATGCAGCGCGATCTCTCTCTCCTCTGCTATCTGCCGCCGGGTGAACTCTGACACCGGGTCCTTACCGAGATGGACTTGCCTAAATCCAATATATACATTGTATTCGCAAACATTATCATGTTGAAGAAACAAACAATATAGGAAAAACATATAATGTGACAAGATAAGCAATAACTGTAATTTGCTCCCCCGTTTGAATCTCTTTTATTTCTCTACAGTTTAACATAACATTTTAATTGTATAGACATCAATAATTGTGTTTACACATCACGTTTACAAAGAAGCTTTTTACGTTGGGTAAAAACAAAAATCACATATTTTTATATTGTCATTATATTAAGCTTGTGGTAAATGTGATGCTGTGTACACTTTCATATTTAATTTGGGCCTACCATCTGAGCTGGTTGGTTTGCTCGTCCTTCACGTTTTGTTGAACCTTTTTCATGAAGCAGGCTTCCTTCATCTGCCGGTTCTGGAGAACAACGGTGCTGCCACAAGATATGGCTGAAGTAAAAAGGGGAAACATCATGGGGAAATATACTGTACAAAGGAAGAATACAACAGGACCATAAAACATTAATTCATAACATACAACAATTAGTTTAAGAGGCGACATGAATGTCACAAAAACCCTACAGCTAAAAGGGTAACAGCATCGGGGGACATGTACCTTCCCTCAGGTCTTTAGAGCTGAGCTTATCAGTGCCTTTGATCAGCATCTTTGCCACCCCAGCGGGAGTGCAGACATCTACGGAAAGCTTCGGTCCGAGCTTAACACCAGCGTGGTCCGTCAAACTCTAGAGAGGAGATAAAGAAATAACAAAAAACAGTTTACAAGAAGATTTTGAATTCACAAGGCAAAGAGGCAAATGTTCTTTGAGATTAAAGTGGCAGGTTTAATAATAATAAACAAATTAACAATTGACCATTGTCAGCATTAGAATGAATTAATGAACTACTTAATCTTCTAATACACAATACAAGACTGTTACTGAACCACACGCACTACCTTTGATCTGTCTGCCACATTGGTCAACCTGTATTTGGTTTTACTTTTAGGTGAAGAAGGTCCTTTGGATTCTACCGGCCTTGCATCTCCATGCCCCGTCTTACTCTCCAGCTCACTGTGATGCAGAAAGAAATGCACCGGAGCACACGTTACGTTGAAAAACATGTTTTAATTCTGGACAAAATCATTTGAGGAAGACAAATAGTGGTGGTGAGAACAGCAATTGGCTTGTTTTTGTTGCGTGGTCCAGGGTGGGCTCTCGTGGCAGAATGAGACCGGCTCTAAATTGGGTGTTTGTACAATGATATATGGACAGCGGGGAGGCTGAGCACCGAGGTCAGCAGACAGGTAATTCATTTTCATTATATTTACATTTCTTGAGCTGTCTGATATGTGTCAGTGTCCCCTTCATGTTAATGGCGGGTGGATGCTAATTAAAAAAAGATACATCTCGATAAAAAGGCATGCCAGCTGTCTTTATTGACCTCTCACACAATAACAGCTAAACATCATAAACGTCCCAAAGATTTACTGGGTTTATGTTCAAGATTTATTGCAAGGATGTTAGAATGATGGAAAATGCAACATGCAAGCAAAGTCAGTTGAGATATTAAAACACTGTGTGTTTTAAGAACATCCTCAATCTCCGAGTCCGATAAGTCAGGCAGGGGAAGCTAAGCAACGAGCAATCATCAGGCCTTCGCTCCCGCATACATTTTTTATCTTTTGATAGGACACAACACTACTACTTCTCGTATTTTATTTTGTTTCACGGCGGGGAACGACAAACAGAGGGGGAATGTTTTGTAATATGCTTAACAACCATTGGGAGGCTTGATATCAATGCACCAGCTACAGAGGAATTTCAATGAATTATTAACTTTTGGCTCGAGATAACAGCAGGACAGTGCGTGGATGGAGCTACTTCTGTGTGATGGATGGCACCATCTTTTCTCATGGGAACGGAGTCAAATATTAGCTTTCACACTTGCAGCAGAAAACACCTAATGTGAACTTCTGACCAGCTCACGAACCCATTTTCCAGTTGAATCCAGTTGGGTGCTTGTTCTTTCCTCAACATGGACCGCCTAGTCGGGTAATTAGTTTGCACACGCAAGCTGTCATGACAACCAAATGAAGCACCATGGGGAACCAAGTTAATTACATTGTGTCAACCTGAAAGATTTCACACTGTTATATAACAACAATGTGTGCTTAGATTAGGGATTGTCCTCCGCTTAACACATTCTTAGTCGACTAATACTTGCACCATGTTGTCAAAAAATGAGTTGGTTTTGAGTTCCATTTCCTAAAATGTTGTGGTTACCAGGTCTCTTGGAAAGCAGTCAGTATTTTGATGCAAGAAAAAGTAACCCAAGAGGGTGGAGCTAAAAACAACGACAAAGACTGCGTATTTTTAGGCAACAGAAGAGGCTACAATTAACATTCATGAAGCAAAAATACACAGGAAAAAGTGTAAATTCTAAAACAAAAAACATAGACCCGACCCAGACAAGACAACGCTGTGTTGTTGACCAGTCAATCACAACGAAGCCTCTCAACAAACTGAGGCGAGACATGTGCACTTCAAACACAGCCGTCAAATGATGGAGCGTTGAGAGCACAGCAAAGTGCACGAGGGCAGCAGGAAGAGTCGCTAGTTCAACATGTTTCACCCGGTGGAATTCTGCCTGGGAAACGATCAAACGTGTGTAGTTTTGTGTCTAAAATATAATCAAACTAGAAAGAATACATAGAGTCCCATCGTTTTTCTGGCTAATAGAGTATAATTCCTCTACACACAATCAACCGCTGTGACTACCTGAGGGTCAGGTGAGGGGCGGAGCTCCCGGCGATGGTACAGAGGTAAGGTTTGGAGTTGAACTGTAGGATGATCAGCTGGATGGTGACCTGACAAGTCTCATACTGGAGAGGAGTGAAGGTCACCAGGATCTTCTCTTCACCGTTGGCTGGTATAACACCTGGAGGAGGAAGTCCACAGGGATGAGTGGTGCTTGTGAATGTATATGGCTTTCTCAGACAATTATCCTAAACTAAGTCCGTTGCAAACATTTGAAGAGGTCAATGTTAATATATAATTTTTTCCACTAACATAACCATGAGAGGGAAAAAAGAAAAGTGCTTCCAAAATAAAAAATACCCGTTTGTATCTCTTTTTCTCATTCCAGGTTTGCATGCAAGTTAAAACTGAGGCTGTAATTGTAAGTGCTGGTTTCAGCCATGTGTTATGATGCTTCCCAGACCATGAATGCTGCTTGGAGGAAAGTGGAGGCATCGTTCAGGTTCTGTGCTGACTTGTTTTATACACAACCAGTCAAAGGTCTTGAGAAAACACAGCACACCTGCTCTTCTTTTGAGTTACGTCCTTAATTTGGTGAGCAAAATGAGAACCATCGATGGAAAAAATAGTTTCATTCAAGTGATTTATTCTACTTTAAAGGAAAATTTCAAAACCCATCACAGTAGAATAGAGCGTAAGTCAAAACACAAACGTGTACAAAACCCGTAAGTGGTAATAAAAGGGCAAGTTGATGTGAAACGGAATGATTGTACTAGATCATACCAGTAAGGGGATGGATGGAGAAGGACTCGTGGGGCTCAATAACGTACACCTGGAACTCAAAGTCAACGGGGCAGCTGCATCGCAAGGGAATAGCACGTCGAACACTAGAGAAAAGTGGAAAAAACAAAGACAGATGTGAGTATTTGTCTGAGGGGGGACACCAACGGGTGAATGGGAGCATGCTCGACTGCACGGAAGAATGCAAAGTGACAGCAGAGCCCTCTGGCAGATGGGTGGTCAGAATCCCAACACATACTGTACCCACACACACACACACACACACACACACACACACACCTACCCACACACCTTTGTCCAAGTGGTACGGCCGATAGGTCAATATGAGCAGGGATATGCAGGTCATCGATGACAGGGTAAGCGTGAACTGGAATCAGCAGGTTCTCTTCCCCCTTGTAAAGAGTGTGGGTGGGTTGTAAAAACAAGAGAAGAAAGAGAGATGAGACGCATAAGAGACATCTCAAAGTAAACACGCATCATCGAAGCACAGACGGGAAAGCAGCTAGGAATTGTTTCTTGAGGTTGTTTGACTGTCTGCTCTGCAGCAAATAATAAGGTAAAGTCCTTTGAAACTCACTTGTGATTTCCAGCTACCACTAAAAAGTCTAAAAATGTTAGAGTAAAACCAGCAAACTGCTGCATCCTGACCTTGCAGTGAACCCGAATGCAGTCGTAGAAGTAACGCCACTCGTCGGGGCAGAGCCTGACCGTCAGTGTGTAGGCGAGGCCGGGGATGAGTCGATACTTGGGAGGTAGACAGATTGGAACGAGTTTCAGTCCTCGGAAACGACACTGATTGCACTTTACCGACAAGTCGTTTTAGTTTCAGGTCAGCAATTTGCAATAAAAATTTTAAGAAAACATACCTTCTTTGTATAAGCTGTTTGGAAATGCTTGGTTTGAGTGGGGATGATGTGAATATTCATGACTTCAGATGAGATGTTGATTAGTTTCTAAGAGGGGAAAGGGGAGAAAAGAGGTTTTCTATCCAATCATGTGTCCTTGAGAAAACCATTTCCATAATCTTGGTGTTTACATCCAGTCCAGAGTGCCTCCTCATGTAGAGGATGAAATCAGAGCCTATTCAATTAAATCAAATCTAGCCTGGATGGAATCCAAATGAGATGAATGTATGTGGGGATCAACTTTTTACAATTATTTCAACTCTTTACTACAGCACCACGGTCTACTTCCTGCTCAAAGCTTAAAGAAGCTGCCTAAACCTGAACTATTTCCATCATGCAAGATTATATTTTATTAAATGAATTGCAGTCAGTAAACTCGCTGTATACCAAAGCCCGTGAAGGGAAGAGTTAAGAATTGTTTAAAAAAAAACAATTGAAAAGTATATTAACAGTATTATTCTCACCAGGATCTTTGTGTAATCCTTCCCCAGCTTAAACCCGCTGAAGTGAAGCTCTGGTGGCTCTGCTTCGATCAGGCTGTTGCTTTTTAGTTTGGAAAAGATTTCTATAAGCAGGAAAATACTATTAGTTGAATGTAATATGCTGACAGGATTTACATAAATCTATATGTATAAAAGAAAGTGTCTGGCTGAATACAGTGTAAAGCCATCAGAGGGCTTTAGAGGTCATGTGTAATATGTACTTGATTCCAGCAGACGATTAGGAGTATTGGCTCTGCTCCTGCTCTGCTCCACCAGCTGGCCCAGCGGCAAAGGGGTCCCCCTCCTGAGGGGCTTCCACAGTGTCTGAGGGGCAGCGGGGGCGACCTCCATTCTGGCAAAAAAGGTCAGCTCTGGCTCCTCATGAGAGAAATTACACGATTCTGGAGGACAGACAAGGAGGGAGCGGTGTGTTAAGAAATATTGTGTTGGAAATGTTTTATAATGAGAATACAGGAGGAAAGACACAGAAGGACAGGAGGTTATTATGCGCGTAATTTGTAGAGAGAAGTCGGTGAATTCAATTAGGTAGTTATTATTAGATGTATACACACGTAAATACACAAATATATAAATGTATGTATATAAAATATTTAGTTATAAATTGACATGTATATACATGCATACGTATTTACATATATACATTTGATACATGTTTAAACGTCTGTGTATATAGATATATATATATATATATATATAGATACATATGTACTTTCAATATTTCTGTATGTGACTGTTTACATATGTATACATGTTTATATATATAGAGCTGTATGTACCTATATATGTATATATGTATAAATACTTATATGTATACATACGTTTACTTTGACAATGTTCTCACTTATTCCCTTCATTTTATTATGTTGCAGCTGAAAACGAATATTGAAATGTATTTATTCAACACCACCCCAATTAAATTGGCAAAACAGAATATTTGTTTTAATACAAGTAATCTTTTTTTCAAATTGATATTTACAAAGTTCTTTGAACGCATCGTATCTCCGCTTCCCACATTCAACGTACCATAGTACAATATAATTAACGTTAAAGTTATTTAATTAAAGTCATACTTCGAATATAACCGCTGACTTATAACCATTTTAAGAGTAAGTCAGAACGTACATTACCGACAGTTGGTTATAATGTTTGTACCTGTAACAAACTTAGCAACGCTAACAAGGAGGCTAACGTTAGCGTGGGTGTCGTTAGCCTAGCGCTACCTATTAGCTTAATTTCACCAAATTATGCTAGCCTTAATTTAGGGCACACAAGTTTTATCAGCTTTCCTGAAAAAAAAATCGAGCAATGTAACTTCAAAACGTACTTAACCTTTAGACAATTTCTTGAATTAGTTGTTCAGACAAAGCAGCCACAGTCCATCTATTTTTCGCACCAGAGGCATTTATGTTTAATGCCGCACACCTGCCGTTTTCGTTGATGAGCGGAAGGAACACGACCTCAAACATTCCCGTTGCCATGGAGGCTGTCGAGCTCTGAATGGGCGGGACTAACATTGGGTGAGAACGATTCGTTGTCTGCAACCGTAAGACACCATCACCCAGAATAATAACGGAAGCCATCTGTTCCACCTTCAAAATAAAAGTATAGCCTACACGTTTGTTGGTTTGGTTGGATTGGTTGTTATTAGCTTGAATCTATTCTATAAATACATCTCGTACTGATTGACATATGTATTTACTATAGCTTATACGGTAGGATATTTATTTACGAATAGTTTGCTGCTACACATATATTCTGTTTGCAGACACTAAATATATACATATAATATATTCAGACGTTATTTTGAAAGTTACAACTGGAAGTTGCAATTTTATCATATATCTTCCCAGATTGTTCCGAGGAATAACTTGCATAATTAACGTCACTCTTGAGCGGGCCAATGCTTGATTTTCAGACCTCATATATCTGCTACATGGCAGGATGCTCGCGTTTCATTCTAATCAGCTATGCTGCTTGAGGTTTGGATGTAGCTGCTATCGATGGATAGAGGAACCATGAAAAAAGTCGGACTTATAGGAGTGCTTTTGTTGCCCCAGGTGAGAAAATACCTGCATGTTTATTTTTGATCTATATACCTTAAGATCAAGTGCGTTATTGTTTGCTCATTTACAGGCAAAATCGTCGACAGGGTGTTATCCTCATATTCATCTTGTGAAAGAGGAGGAAAGGTGCATTGCAGATCTGCTACTTTATAAGTCGGAAAGAGCAACAGGTGAGTTCATCGTTTCTAAATTGTGGTTTTTCCATCTATTGTGTTGACGTAGAATTAAAATACATTGAATAATTTAAGATGCCACTTTCTCTTAGAATAGAAAATCTCTTGAAGTAAGCTTTTTGAACTTCCCAGAAACGGAGTGCACTGATTTAGTGACACCTAGTGGTCACATAACATAATGAATGTATTGCATACAAATCCAGATGTGGGGGTTGTGGCAAAGTAACAAAATATGTGCTTTATGTTCCACCCATGAAGAAAACAACAACAGCGTACTCTGTAAGGGCATGTGGGACGACCTGAACTGCTGGCCGGCTGCCTCTCTCGGGCAGACCGTTACTCAGCCGTGTCCGGAGTTTTTCAACTCGGCCGGTGAGATACAAACACGCGCACATCCACGCAGACAGCGGTCTACACGTGCAACCAAGCCCCACGTTCGCGAGCACCATAAACACCAGGGATCCGCTCTCCCACGAAGCTCCAATAAGCAGCCGGAAGACTTGATTGCTGTTTTGCAGGTACGGTGCAACGCAACTGCACGGCCAGCGGCTGGACCGACCCGCTCGTCCCACACGAGGACGCGTGCGGCTACACGTTCAACGAGACGCTCCACTTTCTTGGAGAGGTTGGTGGTGTCCAACGCGCAGTTAATCGAATAGAAATGTGGGGGGGGGGGGGCAATAATTGTTTTTAATTTTAGTCACATGAGAAGGTTTGCACAACTTTGGGTAACTTTTTTTTATAGCACCTTTCTTTTCCTTTTTGTCTAGTCCTCAGACGCCCACACGTACTTCTCCTACGTGAAGACCATGTACACGGCCGGCTACGCGCTCTCCCTCATCTCGCTCTCCATCGCCGTCACCATATTCTGCCTGTTCCGGTGGGGATCCCCTTTTCCTTTGCCCCCCCTTCCACCCCTCCCTAATGCATTAAACCAGCGAATGTTAACGTGCCCCCAGAAAGCTCCACTGCACCAGGAACCACATCCACATCCAGCTGTTCGTCTCCTTCATCCTGAGGGCCATCTTCATCTTCGTCCGGGACTCCCTGCTGTTCACCGACGAGGAGCTCTACCACTGCGACCACTACCCGGTGTGGACCGGGTGCGCGCCGTCTTTCCTTTGCCCGCCCGCGGGACTCGAACCGGTGGATAACGCGCGCGTCTCCTGTTCGCGTGCAGGTGGCTTGCAAGGCGGCGCTCATGTTCTCCAACTACTCCATCCTGGCGAACTACAGCTGGCTGCTGGCGGAGGGACACTTCCTCTTCACCCTGGTGAGCCGCTCCTTCTTCTCCCTGAGGAAACACCTGGCCTGGTACATCGTCCTGAGCTGGGGTAGGGAGACGCGGTGACGGAAATCGAGCGCGCCTCTCAGACTCCTGTCGATTTAACCGACATGTATTTCCATCACATCAGGCTTACCTCTGACTGTCATTGTCTCCTGGGGATGTGCAAAGTATTTTTATGAAGACGAGGGGTAAGGGGACGTTGGCAAAGATTCTGTTATTTATTAAGTGCGTGATGTTTAAAAACATTCTTATTTTCTTATCTTCTTTTCATTGCCGTAGTTGTTGGGAAACTAGGACCCATGAATGGATTTGGTGGATTCTTCGAGTGCCAGTCCTTCTGACTATTTCCGTAAAGAAGCATTATCAAAAACAAACACACATTGCATTTCACAAATTTCCCTAAAACGTCTCAACTACATGCACAGGGCATAACAATAGTGTTTTATCATTTCAGATGAATTTCTTCTTTTTCTTGGGAATTTTGAGGATACTGGTGAGCAAACTGCGGATGCCAGATGCACAGAGGAATGAATTCTGCCAGTATAAGTGAGTGGAGACACACGTTTAACACGCTATTTGCTAATCCCAGTAAAACGTGGATGCAAGGTCCATTTATTGCTAAAAGCCGTTTCCCCGTCCCAGGACGCTGATCAAATCCACCTTCTTCCTGGTGGCTCTGTTCGGTCTGCACTACATCCTGTTTGTCTTCCTGCCCGTGGAGGTCAGCAGCTCGGTCTTTAAGATATGGACGTTCGCCGAGCTCGCCCTGTCGTCCACACAGGTACGTCGCAGAGATCTGAGAATGACCAAAACAGCCCCATGCTCCCTGACCCCCCTCCCCCTCTCCCTCCTCCTCCTCTCCTCCCACGTCCTCGCAGGGTTTCGTGGTGGCCGTGCTCTACTGCTTCATGAACGGAGAGGTGAGAACCGGTCAAAAAAAAAAAAAAACCATTGAGCTACAAACATGACTAGTGTGGGATTGAATGGAAAGAGCACGCCCCCCGCCCTGTCCCGTCCCCCTCGTCCTCCAGGTCCAGCAGGAGATCCAGAGGAGGTGGCGGAGGTGGCGGTTGACCCAGCACCTGCCCAGCCGGCGCCGGCGGCAACAACACGGCTCCATCAGCCACAGCGGGTCGCCCCTCACGCAGGTGTCCCTGCTGCCCTGCTCCACGGGCGGCCCGACCGCCGGCGGACTCCCCGTGGACACGCTGGAGGTGTGAAGCCAGGAGGGGGGTGTTGTGCTGTGGCTTTTAATGCTGTTGGATTGTATTGTATATATTATATTATATATAATGTGTTTGGTTGTATTTGTAAAGGCTGTTTGGCCCTGAGACAGACGCAGTGATTGTTATCGATAGCGTGTATACGGATGCTCTTTATTTAAGCTGTTTTTATACGTAAATGGACAACGTATTCGCACTTAAACAGTAAGACATTTTAGGGAATGTTTCTTGCTGAGAGTTGGAAGAGAAGATTACCATCACTCTTATGTACATATGGAGCTAGCGGGCAATCAGCTTAGCTTGAGTGTCTTTTTTCCTTCTGTCAGCAAGAAAGCAAATGGGTGTTTATTTCCTAAAATGCTAAGCCTTTACAAGCTTTTTGGTTTTAACCAACTTACAGTACCAGAAAGTACTCCAGACTGCTCTCACGCATTTCATCCATGTCTTACACAGTAATAAAGCATCAAAGAGTGCAGCAGCTACTCGGTTTTGGTGAACCCGTATTCTTTCTTCAGATCCTCCACCAGGTCAATGTAGGCGATCATGGCTTCTTCTTTGGACAGACCTGACGGTTAGAAAGCAACAAAAAAAAAAATCAGTTCATCCATGTAAAAGGTAGAATATGTATCATTCATTTCATGCATCTCCTCTTTCTTTGGTTGAACGTTTTAGAAATCAGACCTTTCTTTGCATGCCACCCGTCCCATTTCCCTCGTCCTGCGAGGTCAAACATCCCTGGACGGTCTGTGGATGCGAGAAATAAACCATAAATAGCTGGAACAAAATGTATTTCATTTCATTCATTTCATTACTTTTACTTAAATTCAGCATTACAGGCTTTCAAACATTTAACCCTAAAACATTGAGTTAAAAAAGGTTAAATCTTCTCAAAAGATTAAATTATAAATAATGAATAAATGACCAGATGGGTGTGGCAGTGGGAACTCTGGTGTGATACGTTAGAAAACCACACCAGAGTTCCTATATCAACGTATCATTGTTCACAGAAAGACACCTAACTGGTTGGACCTCATTCTTTCTCACCCTGCTGGGACTCCTCCTGCGGGTAGAAACTGGACGACTGAGCGTCTCTCTTTTGGGTCTCCATGTGGATTTTACAACGTTAGAACACGGCCGCGCTCCAGAGACTCACCTATGTTGACATCGCCCACCGTGGCCTGCTTATATAGACCGTACAGATCTGCCAGTACTCCGTACCCGGGTCTCTGGTGCAGGACCTTCACTTCCTCCACCGCTCTCTCAAAAGATTCCTGGTGGGATGAGAACACACACACACACACACACACACACAAGGTGACACAAGACCCAACAGCTTGTGAAAGGTTATATTCTCAAACCAGACTTCCTTCTGACTTTAGTTCTAGTTAAATGATCTCTTAGCCTCGAAAAAAAAAAAAAAGTCTGCTGGCTTGTACCAGAAACTCCAACGTAACGCGAGTAGCGGCGGCTCAGAACAAGGAGACAGTACTTACATTCATGACTGCAACGGCAAACTGACACGCCTCGCCGCCGCTGCAAAGCTTCTCCGTCCGCGCTCGTCCAACCTGTCCCGGCGTTCTCCACGGTGTAGTAAAGTGGGAGGTGGCTTATTAAGGCCACGCCGTCATTACGGACAGCAGGAGGCCGACCGCGTTACAGTTAACAATTAATATTAATGAGGGAGCAGCACATGACTTCATTTTAAAAGATATGACCCACAAAGAATTTCACTCAATATGAAAGCACTAGAGTCTAAAATATGTGAAGGCATGGCTTGTAATCCACAATAATTACACTTAAGTTGAAGTAATTTAGATTTGAAATTAAATTCAGTGACACTTTGACAGTGATGCCGGGCACACAGAGCACCTCGTGGTTTCCTGTTACACTTGCAGCAACATAACAGGATAATGACACCTTTTGTAGTTTTAGAGAATACAAAAGGTTGTGTGATACGACTTTCAGCCACAAGGTGGCAGCATCTACACGTTTCCTGATCTGATGTAAGACCCTTTGGTCAGATCTGACCAGATTATCCCTTTAATGTTTAACTAATGAAGAGGTCATATTTCAGCCTTTGACACAGATAAGAACTTCTCTCATAAAGAACATGTACAGAGAAAATGTTTTATTCTATCTTCTAGAAATTTCCATTTTAATTCTTTACATTCATGACTTCCGAGGTTGGAAAGTCTGGTAACACAATTTTGATTCAGATTCTACTGATCACGTAACAGAATGACCTTTGGCAAGAAAACAAAACTAAGAATACCAACGAGGAAGAAGGAAACAAAAACTGCTAAACACAGCACAGCGTCTCATGCTCATATTATAACAGTCAAACAGAACAAAAGAGTTCTGATCAGCAGGTTGGTTTAGCTCCGAAAGGTAACCATGTTTAAAAAATAAAACAAAATTTTGTAATAACTTATCCAAATTCGGCAATGAAAAGTAACAAATAGCAAGCGAGTGTGGCAGCACAGAAGAGTTTAGTAACAACACCTCAGTGAGAGGACTGATGATGACGGGCTGAGGCTGCTTCTAATGATAAGAAATCAAATTTCAGACTCAAATGTGAATTTATGCAAAACTCCGTTGTGCTGCTTCAGCAGTAAAGGCTTCAGTAGCTTCTCTCCTGGCTGCATGAATGGAACCAGAACCAGAAGCTGTTCTCACTGGTTCACGTAACAATAGATCAAAGTAATAAGCGGAAAGACCAACTAAAAACCCGATGGCGACGATGCATGGTGCAATAAAGTGGAGGACCACAGCTCTACTGGTCCATCTTTTGAACAGACACTCACACGTCTCTGAAACTCCCCAAAAGGCCTTCGAGAGGAGCCTTCAGTACATTCCAACGGTGTATAAATCCTTCACCCCCTGTGCGACCTGCGGCGCACACCTACAGACGCCTTTTGTCCGGACCCTCACACGTTACTGAACTCCTCCAGCCCGTTGCGGCAGCATTCCTCCTGCGGGGCGAAGCGCACGTGGCGGCTCTTCTCCCAGCCGCGGCGGATCATCCGGAGCCGACGGGCCACGCAGGGCACGAGGAGGGCCAGGCGGCCCAGCAGGACCGCCATGGGGAGAACCAGGACCAGCACGAAGGTGGGCGGCAGGAGGAAGGGGTACCGGGCTGGGTCGAAGGCGCGGTCCCAGCCGAAGAGCAGCGTGTGGAGGGTGGCCATGGACAGGGCGCAGTAACCCAGTGTGGACTAAGGGGGGCGAAACAGGGGAAGAAAAACAAACAAATATAACAATGGTCCTGTCCTCTAAATATATGACAAGCGGTTTAAATGAAAAATAAAAAAATGTCAGGGATTTTCCCTTGAAGTAACTCTCCAGCTCACAGTGCAGCCGGCCGACTGCATTAGCTTAGAGTGTTACAGAACCCGAGGAAACACTCCGACCTGCCACTCATGACCCGATGAACCCCACCAGTGGGTTTGCTACAACGTGCCCACGGGGCACGCTAATTAAAAAAAAAAAAAAAAAAAGACTTCCCAAGGTTGAATCGGGCAGAGGCCAAGCGGTTAATTCCTTGCTTTCGAAACACGTCGCAGAGAACAGCTGCGACAATAACTGCCGTGGGTTGATGGCAAAAAGACGAAAGCATTCCCGCCGCCTTTTCTGGAGAACTGAAGGGAGGGTTGGAGGATGGTGGTGCTTGAATAATTGACTTTTCACAGCAAACAGTTTGAGAGAAATCCCAGGAAAAGTCCTCAGAGATATAAACATACAGACTGGAAAGCGCTGTTGGTCTTTTTGTGGGGTTTTTCCTCGACAGGAACAGCAGGTCTGAGATTAGGACATATACTCAAAAACTAATCCACGGCACATTTTTGACATTTCTGTGAAGTAAAACGAACTAAAAGGACGGCCATACGCTTTATGCATACAGTGACCAGTTGGTTTTGTACACAATTAGAAAAAAAAAAAGGCGCCGGTTAAATGGACTTTGGGGGCAAAGGCTGATTCTCAGTGTGTAGTCGGTAGATCACGCACGGGTCTGATGCTCAAACACGATAAACACCACACAGGCGCGACAGCTCACACACACACACACACACACACACACACACACACACACACACACACACACACACACACACACACACACACACACACACACACACACACACACACACACACACACACACACACACACACACACATGGCTAATCTGACGGCCGACGGATTAGCCGAACGCAAAGATGAAAAGGGGAACACCGACGGGGCAGCGAGCGCCGGAGGAAATGGAAGGCCGCCGCTGGAGGGAGCGGAGTGGGGATGTTGGGGGATGTTAAGGAGCAGCGGAAAAAAAAAAAAAGGAGGAAGCGCATGAGTCACGACACTCCTGATGGCTTTGTCACAGTCCGAGTTTAACGGCAAATCTGGGGCAGCTGCAGGAGTGCAGAGGCAGGGTTTGCGTGTCGGAGACGCGGCGTGCATCCATCTACACATCATCAGCGCGACGCCTGTTTGATTGTGTGTCAAGTGCCACGGCTGGCAGTCTTTGGCCATCAGTCCGTATTAATCCAATCTGACTCTCGTCCTGCTGCGGCCAGAAAGAATAGAACGCCGGCCTCGGGGCGGTACGTGTTCATAGATAAAGGGGGCCACTCAGGGGGGGAGGATATTATTGGCGGGATTAAAACGATCCCTGATTGTGTGTCTGCGCGTACCTGTATGAAGGTGAACTCCCTCCAGTTGAGAGTGTTGGCCACCGAGGGCAGCGAGGTGACGGCCAGCAGGGAGAGCAGACCGAGGGCCATGATGCCCGCCGAGACGTACAGCTCCATCCTCCACACCTCCTCCTCCACCCACACGGGCCCCTCTTTCACCTGGACGTCACACAATAAAAAAGGCGGCGTCCTTGTGGTGTCTGACGCCATGTGCTGCACAGACAACCAGTGTGTGTGTGTGTGTGTGTGTGTCGCCCTCTCACCTGTCTTGCGGCGATGAGCAGTTGGAAGCGGGCGGACTTCCTCATGGGGAGACACAGGCTGTAGACGGCGTGCAGCGCCGCGCACCAGAAGCTGCACAGCCCCATCTGCTTCCTGCTGGTCAGCCAGCGGTCCAGCCAACCGGGGAAGCGGTTGTACTTGGTGCCCCACCACAGCTGGAGGAGAGCGGCGCACAATCCGGGCAGGTAGACCAGCGACAGCATCACCAGGGCAACGGCGGGGAGGGTGACGTTCACCGTCTCGATGGGCATTTTGTAGAACACGTTCTTCCCCGCCACGACGTAGGGCCGCAAGACGTCGCGGAGGAAGTTGTACGCGTAGAAGAAGGCAAAGAGGGACAAGGTGCAGATGACGGGGATGCGCCAGGAGGGGAAGAGATAGAGGGGGAGGTTCTCGATCTCCAGGGAGGAGGCGAGGAGGCCCCGGTCGACGGGGACGAAGCCCAGTCTGCGACAGAGCTGCATCACAGAGCACTTGGCCCGGCTATCGTCGCCGCACAGGAAAATCTGCAGAGCGGTAGAGACGTTGGGTTGGAACACTCCCTTAATGTTTCCTTTTCGCCATAACTCTGCAACACAAAGGGCAGCTTGTGTATCCTACCTGCCTGCTGCCGTCCTGAGGTCCCATCTGGAGCGTCCAGGCCGATACAGTGTTGAACCCTTTAACCACGGAACTCTCCGGGAACAACGCTGCCAGCTGCTCGGCGTTCGAGAGCGTGTCCCGTTTGATCTTCAAACCGTTGCTGACGTCCACCAGCGTCTTTCCAGCCAGCGTCGGCCTCAGTTCAACCAGCGTGGCGTGGTGCTCGGGGAACACCGCGACAAACACCACGTCCGCCTTGCTGGTTGCCTCCATCTGCGACATCAGCTGGAGGACGGAGGCAGAAGTGGTTACACGCTAAATACATTCAAAGGCTCAAGGCGCAAAAAAAACACGTTATATCGGCGGATAGAAAGACACTTCAATGCTTTGTTTCGTATACAGCAACATAACAAAACCTTTAGGCTTCAGGATTTGTTGAGTCAAAATAAAGTGCTTTTATTATAGAGTTGTGTCCACGACTGTATTTTCTTCTGCTCAAGAACCTCTGCTGCAGTCTAATTTACTAGAAGTTTATTAAACAGGGACAAAACAGGGACAGGTTGTTTAAAAGTTCATGCAAAGGCGCATTTCACGCCATCGGCACTTGACGTCATCGCTTCGCCCCCCTGCTACGAAAACAGCGCAGCGTGATCTTGGAGCTTGTCTCCACAATCCTGTGCGGTTCTTCGTGGGCCGTTGCTTCAGTGCCTTTTCGACTGAACACCTTTGAGTTACTTAAGAACATACAATGCAAAAATCTACAGTCTTATCTCGCGGCCTCTTTCTGAAACGTCCTTCGTTCCATGGAAGCCAACATCACTTTTAGGCTGAATGTGGTTTTCTTATACGTTCCTAAAACACAAGGCGGTTATTCTTTGTTGTTTCCGACTTTCCGAGTGCGGTAATTTACTCTTTACGAGCACACTAAAGGAAAAGAAAGCTAACGCACACTCCCATTCCTATCTGTTTAGGATAATAACAGTTATCCTGCCTCACGGGTAAATACAGAGTAAATACATCATTATCACCATAGAGAGAGGAACCAAAACACCAATTAGGTGGCGCGTGTGAATGTGAGTGTCAGTGCCGTCACCTCGGCCTCTTCGGGGAACAGAGCCGCAGAGAACTTTGGGTTTCGACTCCCCACCACCACTTGGTAGCCGGAGGCCACCAGCCTTCTGGCCAGCGAGCGGGAGAAGTCGCCCGTGCCCAGAATACCGATGACCGGACTGCAGAGTTCAGACGCAGGGGCCTGGAGCCGCCTGGAGCCGCCTTCCTCACCTCTGCCTCGGATTAAAGGCCGCGCCATCTCATCGGGCATCATACACCGGTGAATCTGCAGAGAGGGGACGTGGACCGCTTGGCTTATTTATTTAGACCCATACGAACTCGACTGGTTCCTAAAATCAGGGACATAGAGAGGGTAATAAAAAGGCAGAGCCCTTTGGATGGGGCTTTGGGATATTTACCTACATGCTCTGACAAATACGTGCTTCTTCTCACATAATAACACCTTTGTCCCTCATCTGCTTTGTCCTAAATCCATATATGGTAAATGTTTCTTATTTTGACGACTCTGTTAGGGGCCATAATATGAAAATATTAACAACAACAACACATAGTAACAACATGTAAGCTTGCGAATCATACAAAACGAATTATTCGTAAACAAACTAACGGTAATCAGCCATTATTAGTACTAAATCATCACCAGTGCTGCTTTTCTATAGCATCCAGTCAGAAACAGTGTCAGGTAACGTTGTAAGCTTTAGCCGACCCTCGAGTCATTACACTTAATAGCAGCAAATCCACGCTCATATTCTCCTGCGGAAATAAAGGCGAATTGACGCCACCTAGCTTGTTGTCCTTGAGCGAACTCGTGGAAACTTCCCCTCGGAATTAAGTTCCCCTGCTTGACAAACAGCACGACGCAAGCGAACATACTAGAACGTTTGGATGACAACGACAGCCGTACTTCACCGAATCAGGCCTCTGTTAGTCCTCACGCGGTGGTGTTTCCGAGCTACTCTCAGAAACTTGTCCGTCCCGCTCCTGCGCGCGGTGAACTTTTCTTCCTGATAAGGTGACGCGGCAGCCGAAGCCACGCCCCCTCTGGGCCACGCCTACACATGCGGGAAGGCGATAAAGAGGAAGAGAGAGGTGTTTGTAAATGATGTAACTGACTTTTGGCATTACACCAAGGACAACAAAAACTGGCTGCGAAGGGCTTTGCATCAAATATGAATAAATGAAGACAATGGGTAGTTTGGTTTGAAAAATAAATATTCTTCATTACTGACATTTCCATCACTCCTATTTGTGTAATTGTGTTTATTGATAATACACTTATGCCAGTATGCAAAGATGCTAAACTAAGAAGATGAAAAAACATTTAGCCGGTAAACGCTGAGCATGTGTTAGCGTCGTGTTAGCGTATCATATTAGTGTGAGGAGGTCAGCGTTTTGCTCAAAGCAGTCTCTCAGAGACAATATCACGGCAAAATGTTCTTGGTCCTCTTTTTGCTGCAGCAATGGTCTGGTTGTCTGTTTCACAAATTGTATTCTGTTGAACAAAAATGAAAAGAAGTAAAGTGTAATAATTTTTTTTTTATGTCTCAGACAAATAGCAGTTTCTCACTGGACTCCATCTGCTGCTGTCGGTATGTTTGATAAACAGGCCGTGAGATTGGAACCAAAAAAAATGCCGAAGCGTTAAAAAGATGTCTGGCCGCGGGCAACGTGCTGTCAACATGACTTCATCAAGTCTGCCTTTGCCACTTGCAAAAGGTTGAACCCCTCCGGCTCACAGCACTGCATCAGTGTCACCACACACAACCCCCTCCCACACACACACGCACACGCACACGGTGCCAGCATGCCACCCTCTCTTTCACTGTCTCTAGGCCATGGCCTCGTGTTTGTTTACACCGCTTAAAGGAGCTGTGTTTTGCATTCTGAACACTAATAGAGCAGCAAACAAATGTAAAGATATTTATAGCCGTGTCAAAAATGAGCAGAGAATGAAGTCGCTCCCCCTCCGCGTGTCGTTATGCGGCCGCTGCGTCCTTTGTTGACCGAGCGGCGCACCCATCCTCAAGTTCCTCTCGAGCGGCGGCCATGTTTGGGCGTGCCACTGCGTCACATAGAGAGCCAGAGTAGCGTCGAATTAGTACAATTTAAGAATGTGAATATCTAATATGTTGATTGTTCATTCGTAGGTATCGATTACTGACGTCTGCCGGTGTGAAAACCCATTAATCTAATCAAATCAATTGAAGACATTCTGATCCTGGGGGACCAATTCCCTATGAGACAAGCCTGGTGATCTGGTTTGCAGTGGCGCAAACAGCAGGGCCTCTTAATGGACTATTATTATCACCACGGCGATCACGTGGTCAGATGGGAAGTATTGTGTCAGGGGAGCGAGGGCACGGTCGTAGGCGGTTAGCCTGAGGTGGACAGGTCCGGCCATGTGAACGTCTGACAGAGCTTCACTGTCAAAGCGTTACATGGGGGAAGACATTTCTTTCTGTGCTTTCGAGGGCGGCGGTCCGCTCAGTTCCCTTCGTCAGGGATTAGGGACGCACGTGGAGACGGGAGCTGATGTTGCAGGTTCTCACCGCTGTGGCTCAGTCAAACGTTTCCCACGGCAAAGTAGTAAACACAGCAGAGGAATTCCACATGCAGATCAGAGTCCTTCCACTGGTCACCTTGAGCAAAGGTAACGACTAAAACGAAGGAGGGTTACAGTTTCCTCATCGCTCCAATCAGATCGGATGTTTTCATCTGCTGGCCCTTTTCTTCTCTTCGGTGGAAACACAATGATACAGACATTATTATCCTAATGTTTGTTTGGGTTTTGTTTCATTTTTTCCATCCACCGGGCAGTTTTCCGTCGCCGCGGCCTAAAGAAACAGTTCAGTGTACTAACCTCGAGCAAAGGTCACTCTGGGGAGCGCGCGTGCCTCACTGACATTTTTTTTTTTTTTTGCAGATGATCATAGTCATCTGCGGCGGATGAAAATTCTAAATGAATTCCCAGCGATGTCGAGGCTGTCCTCACTTTAAACACACACCCCCCCCGCGATGTTCACCTTCAGACACGGCCCGAGACATGTGGAGTCAAAGCTGAGCTGAGCACGGCCAGAAAATTGCTATGAAGGTAGGGAGGGGTTGTGGGGGGGGTTGGTTTTTCTGCAGTGTGACTGCGGGGCTTCGGCTAAGCCTCGTCTACGGCCTCTGAAGATTTTTCAACATCGGCGTGAGCTCTAAAGCCTCGCGTGTGGATGTGGGGTCTGCGCTCCAATTCCAGGTGCTTTTTTCCCAACTGGCACTTTTGAAGTATTTCAGGTCTTTCATGGGGGGAAATGGGGCGTGGGGGAAATTTAGGTCCGGGGACAAAAAATCCAGAGACGCTTCTACTTTCAATAAGCAAATGATCTGCTGCTCCTATGAAATAAACCAACCACTCATAGTGTGTAGAAAATGAGAGGCATCGATTTTCAGGAAACCTGGTGGATGGGTGCAGCTCGGGTCCGCGGGAGGAGCCCACTTGGCTCCCGGAGCCGATCCAAACCACAGGGCTGCCCCACAATTTAAGTGGCATCGGCGGCGCCCTCCCTTCAGCTGATGTGCTCATGGTTAGAACAAGTGCACGGTGGCCTCCCGGGAAAGGGTAAAAAAGAAGAGGCTAATGAGGTGTTTAAGACACATCTGTATGCAACAGAGTAAGGATTGCCTGCGCACAGGGCAAATTTTAATTTGCCGGAGAATAAAAATGCAAAGCCCGTGGCTCTCCACCTCGCGAAACAAGACATCAAATAATCGCCCCAGCAGCAGGGAGCTCGGAGCTGAAGGTGTGGACAGCAGCCAGACATCTTCACTACATTTTCTGTTTAAATTATCGCCTACCCCCCATCCCCTCTGTCTAAATGTGTGCATGCGTGAGTTTGTGAAGTGACCAATGCAGTTGGTCATTTGATGTTGTCACCACAGTGAACCTTCCCCTCAGCCATCGACTTTGAAAAGACCCCCCGTGGAGCCAAACATCTGAATGTGTTTACTTTCTGTTTTCATCACAGGATTAAACTTGTCTTTAACATGTATTTCTTGGTTTTATTCATTGATGTTAAATACACCAATTGACATTTTGTGAAATCCTTTCTGTTGATTTATGGCGGAGTATTATAGATGAGATATAATGGCTCGCCCCAAAAAGATTAACAATATAAACACATTTTTCAACACTGACTTATGATAATTTGTGGATTGGTTCGACATAAATCCAAATCCTAATCTTGCAACTGAAGAATTTATGGATCCGTGGGCAGAGGGGAATGGGTAAAAACATTTTATGGTAATGTTTGACCTTTAATGTATTCCACTTACACAAAAACCAGCTGGTTGAGACTACGACCTCAATCATTTGTCATTTTAAGGTAGTATATTTATTCATAGAGTGAAGCATTCAAGTTGGATATTATCGAGATGTAAATGTAAATATGAGAATCTTCTTTGTTTTATGCGTATTTCTCCTGCAATTTTAAATAACAATTGCACGGCCTTTAAACTTTACGCACCAACTGTACCTCTGGTCAAGACAGTCAAAATAAAACGCAGCACTTCCTGTCGCACATTAAAAAATAAAAGCATTGTTTTATCTGTTTGTATATTAATTACGTCTTCTAAAAAGCATATTTTGCAGTTAGCCAAAAGTTAACTGCGATATAACAGAATATACTCAAGTCAAGTGATAAATGCAGAATTATTACTGATATGGAATTATGCAGCAGGGTCACTGTCACTGTCACAGCCTTCAATAATTATTAATGATGCACGGTTCATGTTGCAGTTGAGGTGCAGAATTATAACCACTTCCTGCTGTCGGGCATCATCATGCGTCATGTTTCATAAACTGATCATTTGTAAAAGATTTAATCACTGTCAAAAAATGCAGAGCAGTGCAAAGTAAAGCGCCTCCCTCTGTAATGTGGTGGATAGGAAAGACAAAGGAAATGACAACATTTATAGGTATACAAGTACCTCTAGAATTGTACTAGTGTAAATGTGATTGCCCATTCTAAATATGACGCTAGGCAATGTGCAGCCTCCCATCTCAATGTATGCTCATTAAAAACAAACGTTTTGTGACCCGCCTGGCTTTGTGTCATTAAACAGCAGCAGACGTACGTCTGTTTCAATTTACTCAGCTGGTGTCTTTCTACTCTATATTCATGAGCGCTACCCGTCCTGCTGTTTTAATTTGAAGGCCATCTCCCTTATCTTCCGGTCTACTCCTCGCTCACTTCTGCCAGCTGGCCGCAGCTGGACCGCCGCTGTCCGCGCGCACCTCTCCATCCAGCCAGGACGCGCTCAACGCTCCCCGGTCACAGCCGCTGCCCAGGGGCCCGGAGCCGCCGATAGGAAGAGCCAGGCCGAGGCGACGCGCACGTCACCAACTTCTTCCCCGTTTCTTAAAAAAAAAGCCCCTTGCCTCTCCCCCGCTTCATCCGCCAAAATTCCCCCCCAGGGCGGCTGCGCGGGTTTCCTGTTGTCCCGCAGGTGGTCGGTCTTCTTGGTGACCGCCGTCGCGATGGTTCTGCTGGCTCTGGCCGTCGCCGTCCCGCTGCTTCTGCTGCGCGCACCCGCCGAGACCTCCGCGCGCTACTACGAGATGATGGGCACCTGTCGGATGGTCTGCGACCCGTACACCCCGAAACCGGGCGGCGCCAGCGCCGTAGAGGTGATCCAGAACGTGAACGGCGTCGCTCCGCAGCCGCCCATGGCGCAGGGGAGTCGCGGGGAGCCGGGGAGACCGGGCAAACCCGGATCCAGGGGCCCGCCGGGAGAGCCCGGACCTCCGGGTCCGAGGGGACCGCCAGGGCTGCGCGGCGACGGCAGACTCGCCCTCCCCGCGGTGACCGGGTCCGCAGGTCCCGAGAACGGAGAGACGGAGGGCGCGAACTCCTCCGCCAACGGATACCGGATCGCGTTCTACGTCGGCCTGAAGAACCCGCACGAGGGGTACGAGGTGCTGAAGTTTGACGACGTGATCACAAACTTGGGGAAACACTACGACGCGAACACCGGGAAGTTCACCTGCCACATGTCCGGGATCTACTTCTTCACCTACCATGTGTTGATGCGCGGAGGGGACGGGACCAGCATGTGGGCCGACCTGTGCAAGAACGGACAGGTGAGAGGCCAGCTGATCGCAATGGTGACGTATAGAAACCAAGGCAATGCAGGTCATTCCAGGGTCGTCACAATTTTACACACAACGCCTGGTTTCTTTTTTTTATTCCTTATCACCATTTATATGCTTCATAGGAAACGGTTTCATGGTGATATTTTGGATAATGACGATGTTTTTCGTTTTTTCACCAGTGGGGGATTAAATGCATGCAGGCTCTTGGTCAAATTTGACAATGTTGTTACCATCCTACTGTGGTTTTAACCTCTACTTTACCCAGCGTTCCCTTTGAATGTCTATTTTTAAAGCGGCACCACAGCTGTGTCTTTTGCCTCTCAGCCGTACGTGAACTTTGCAATGCTCTCACCAACCAAACAAAGTCCCATTCGCCCTCCTCCTCTCCCCCAGGTGCGAGCCAGCGCCATCGCCCAGGACGCCGACCAGAACTACGACTACGCCAGCAACAGCGCCGTGCTGCACCTGGACTCCGGGGACGAGGTCTACGTCAAGCTGGACGGCGGCAAGGCCCACGGTGGCAACAACAACAAGTACAGCACCTTCTCCGGCTTCATCCTGTACCCCGACTAGACGGGCAGCGCGGAGCCACCCCGAGAAACTGTTCACATCCAAAAGCCCCAACATGTTTTGCCCCCGGTTTGAAGACACGCCTCCCGCCCGCACGCCCCGGCTTCTTATCTGCGTCCGTATGTTCCGTTCGTTTAGCGAGAGACCTCCTTTCCGTTCGATTCGACCCGAGTATTCGACTCCGCTGCTGTCACCAGAGTACGTATCTCACTGCCGCAGACCTACAGCAAAACACCCCCTCGAACGTGCCCAGAGCCGAGGACGCATCATTCTTAAGTTCCTTTGACACATTTATAAAAATACTGTAAGGGGGAAGCGGCGCGTAGCCCCCCAGAGCCGGCTGCCCACTGTGCGTATTAATGGCGCCGGGTATTCCAGGCTGGAATGGCAGCAGAGAGAAGGGCGGGAAAAGTAATAAGAAAATCAGGATATCCAGAGCCAACGTCAGGGATGAAGAGAACCTCACCCGGCGAGGACATAAGGCCCGGTCACAACGGTAATTTAACATGAGGACATTTTATGGCAACTTAGTGTATTCTTCTGCAGGCTCTTTTTTCAACTTGGTTGATTCGCACCGCCAGGAAAATTGTTTCACCAACTGTTTTACTGAAGGGGGGGTGATTGTTCCCGGTAGTTACAAGGCGGGAGCCATTTAATTAAGCAGTGAATCGTTAGCGACTCAGCAGATATTGAATCTGAAACTATTTTGATTTATTTTGATTTAGCGACTCAGCTATCAAGCTTGCAACCGACGGTTGGTTAGCTTGTAGCCACGACTTTTAAATGAAGGCCCGTGACCTTCTCTTTGACCCCAGGGGACTATGACACAAAACTACTGTGGCTGTCTACCGCTAGCATGACCTCATCCGGCTAGCCTATTAGCCGTTAGCTTTCCAGCCAGTCATCGATCTCCCACAACCAAATATTTTCCAGCGGTGTTCGTTTGGTTAATGAAATAAGGATACGTGAATAATTGTCATTCTTTTGTTTTACTTATTTATTTATTATCCGCCCGCACGTAAGCGCATCGTCGGCATACATGGCAAAATGGCGGCAACGTCTTAAACTGGAGCACCTGGATACTGGATAAGCCCGACCGGATATAGAAGATGCCATCGGACGAAACGGTCCTACGAGGCCGGAGGGGCGCTTTCCAAACCGCGCCAGACGAGTCGTGTTCGGTGTTTCACTAAATAACCCAGTAACCACAAGTGAACGATAGAAAGTGTCTCGCATCAATATCAAATCGGTTCAATTTAGTTATCAGGTATGCCAATAAATATTGTTTGACAAAATGTTGGCTTTGTGTGAACATCTCTGACCAAGTGACTCCAAGTGTTTTTGGACTTAATGTCATTGCCATATATATTTATATATATTGTTCCAAATGTGTTGCATTGCACTGTGGCCTACAGTTTGGGTTCCAGGTGTCTCCCTGAATGTCTTCGGCTGTAGCTGGCAGACATTTGTGGTCAGTGAGCCTTGCTTAACGCGACTGCAACACATTCTTATCTTATTCAGTGATGGACAGATATTGAATCTGAAACTATTTGGATTTTTTATCATATTTGCTGCTTGTCTTTGTCATATTACAAAGCCAACAGAATATCTTCATGTTCTCGATTTCCAGTCATAACAAACCAGCAACTTCAATACGTGACCTTAGAATAATTAAATAAATCTTCATAAATATAAAAGAAAAAGAAAATACCCAGCAGTCCTGGATACGGAAATAATGGATAAGGAAAATAATAGTTATGCACAATCCTAGTTCCAGGTTGACACAAGGAGAGGAGCGGTGTTTCTGACATGCACGTCTCAGTGCTTCTGCAGCTCGATTAGTAAAAGACGGCTATGTGGCAATGGTTGCTGTTAGCAAAAGGCCGTCTTTGGGAGTCCTCAGCATGAGGAAACATAAATAACATGCGCCTCTTCAGATCGTTTCAGATGTGAAAAACGTTGGCTGCCGGCTCCTCGGTTTCACTTCTGATTAAGTTGTATAAATATTGAAAAACTTGGCTGTAAGCCTTCTCTAAGATGATGTGGGTGTTTCATTTTTTTCAATATTCATTTTTTTTCATCCCCCTCGGGAACACACATTTAACAGCTGTTTACACAACAGCCCTGACAATGTAAATAGAAATAATGGAAAACAATAATTAGCATGCCCGCCTAGACAAACCTCTATTAAAGTGTGGGCTTATTTTCATTTACTCTTTAATAGAGGGGACTGTGTTCTTCTAGTGCCGACAAAAACAAAAAGAGATGGTTTGGCCGTTAGCATGACACAGATTTATAGGGAAATACAGCCGGATGAAAAGTACTGTAATTCTTCAGGAAATGGTTAAGGATTTAATATGCAAAGATAATCTTCTCGTATAGCCAGGTCGAATCGCTGGGTCCGCAAAGAGAGAATCCGGGTGGGCTTTCACTTACAGGTAACACAATGGGCACTGTCAGCTTTTTTGTAAGTGTTACATATGTAAACAAACAGCCGTGTTTGTATGAGCAAGAGACGGTCAAGGTTTAAAGATGACCAGGACAGGGAGTTTGTTTGAGGACCAGAGGGGGTGCGGCGATGACGTCACCATGCAGAGGCCTCTCCAAGCGTTTAAAGATCAAAGCGTGATGGTCTTGTACCGGCTCCTCAGCCTCCTCTGCAGACACATTTGGGATGAAAAGTGAAGCTGCTGACACCAACTGAGACATCAACAGCAGTGGGTGTCGACCGACAGCCAGACAGATGATCACGCACACACACACACACACACACACGCACGTATACATAGAGCACGATAGATGATCATCCATCCCCCATGTCTGGGCGACAGTGAGGAATCGCTGACTGACGGACGGAGTAGTGAATTTCTCTGATGGATGAGATAAGCGGCACACACACACACACACACACACACACACACACACACACACACACACACACACACACTGTGTTTAAGGGGATGCAGCTTGACAGGCAGCCGAGCAACAGGCATCCTACCAGAATACGCGTCACCAAGGCTTTTGTGATGTACACGGCTCAGTTGTCCCTGTAAACTATGATTCTTCTTAATTGAAAAACCCAGTGAAGAAAGAGTCCGCTCCAATGAAGCAGTTCCAGGGAAGCGCCTGAATGGCAATCGGCGTGAAGGATTGCCGCCGGCGAGCTGCACACGCAGTCCGCCAATCATCCGGGACATCGTTAAGGGCCTCTCCTTGTTCTTCCAACGCGCTGATTTTATCCCCCGCCACGACCGATCCGCGAGTGACGATTGTGCCTGAGATGCAAATGCCACCAAAAGTGTGCGTGAGCAACAAAAAACGCTCTGACAGAGGGACGCCTGAAGGGACCTGCGGCGAGGGCGAGAGGCGGGACACCTAAAGACCTTATCTGCCTCTTTTGTTTGTGGTTCGCTCGCAAACCACACGCCTGGGATCTTCACTGGACGACAAAAGAAAGGAGGGAAAACTGTAGATGCAGCCCGCTAGATTAAACGGCATTTGACCACAAGGAGTAAAGGTCACAGAGTTGGTGGATCGTCCATTGTGGGCCTTTTGAGGCGGATTCAAATGAAATTTTGCAACAGTGCCCCGTGTCAAAACACGCTCACTTCCCGCCTCACCAGAGGGACGTCCCAAGCTTCCCAGGTCGACACAGAAAGCTCTCGAGATCCTGTTGTCCAAATTTAAGACGAATCTACTGAACTTTCAATGACATTTTTTGTAATTTTTCCACCAGTATTTTGTGAAATGACAAAATTGCCGTGTTGTCACCAACAAGATCTTTGTCGGGTGTATCAACTATTCGCAAATTACCGCCAGAAAGGAATCCAATAAAGCCTGAAGGAGGAGTTAGAAATAACTACAATAAAATACATGGAAATTACGCTAAATTGAAAATTCAAAACTCACATACCTAACACATACTATTGTGTTGTGTGTATGTTTTCAAATAAATTGCTAAAATACAGCTCTGCATGCCAGAGTAAGATACCCATATACAACACAAGGAACAAAATGAGTTCTCCTGAACACAAAACCATACAGGGAAACCGAGACGGAGTCACTCCTGAATATTTTGCTGCAATGGAATAAATTCCCAGTATCACCAAGGACTCATGTGCGGAATAATGACTCAGCCAAATGCTGACTCACTTCAACCGTCAGTCTGCACTCCGCAAATTCTCTTTTGCGGTTTAATCGGCCAAATAAGGGGGAACAGAGAGAAGAGAGCGAAAGGGAAGGAGGCGGAAAACAGTGAAGGGGATAAAAAAATCTACATATATTCTCCTGAAGAAGTTGATGAAAGAGGACAAAAAAAAGACAAAAGACCCCTTGAGGGTTTAAACTCGGGGTGAAGCTTATTTGGCGAATGATAGAATGCTTTTTCAAAGACGATGAGCTCCGGGGCTGATGAATACAGCTCCTGTCAAATGCTGCACACTTCAGAGTCACGATGATGCACCGAATCGTCACATCTGCAGTGGCACTGAGTGTCGCTGGCAGCTGGTAAACGGTGGCTTTCATTGATTTAATGTTGCTCTTTGAGTCCATTTTAAAATCAAGTAATTTCCATACAAAAGACAACATGTTGTTTTGGCTTCAAATGTGAATATTTGTTGTTTGTTTCCCTTTTATGACAATAAAACTAAATCTATTTGTATTCTTTGCTGCTAGTTAAGAAAAAACAAGACATACCAATATTTTGGTATTCTGCTGCAGGCCTAACATGGCGATTGTGGACAAAATATGACCGGAAAGGAGCATCCCACACCCACTATGCAAAAATAAATGAATAATGTCATGATTTAAACTGATATGAACCAGGAAATCACGATAAGGAGCTGAACTTTGCACTCATTATTTGTGGAGAGACCTCCACTGTAATGTGATGTCATAGTTATGGAGATGCATGACGTCATACTTCAAACTTGCTTTCATTAAGAGTGAAATTGACACTTGTAGTATTTTTTGCATTACTGCTCTAAGTGTATACACACCAACTGTTGCAGAGTTATTTTAATTTTATTGCTATACAAAAACAGCGTTGCATTTCTATATGATAACTTATGTAAATAAATTGGGAAATGCTCTTATTTGCACTCATTTATCTCATTTCTATCTCAACGTGAATCTAAAGCCAGGTGATGGTTAGCACGAGGTTAGCTTAGCATAAAGACTACAATTCAAAGGAAATAGCTATCCTGTTTTTGTTGTTGTTTTTTACCACATGAAAGTATTTCCTTATGAGACATACCCTCCTTCTATCTATCAGGCAAATATTAGGCTGGATGATAGGCCATGCTAGCTGTCGAGCCCCACTACCATTCATTATGCTAAGCTAATCTAGCTTTTTATATTGGCATACGGCTAAGAGTGTGGTATCAATCGTCTCGTCCATCTCTTAAGAAGTAACCAACAGGCCTATTTACGGAGATGTCGAACTTTTCCTTTCCCTCACGGCACCTGTAACCTTTAGGCTGCTCTAAACTTTGACTACCATTTTTCCGAACCTGAAACAAAATGTCCTCTTGAATGGTCTTCGACTCAATTCCATCTACAGTATATCTCTGCGAGGACAATTGATCTTATAACAGCCAGAAATACAAGAGCTCGCACACATTCATACGGATGATTTTCAGCCAGGCAGGAAAATGGCATAACTGTCAGAAACACATCGCTTTCTGGTTCTCGGAGCCGGAGCCATAATGAGAGGCTAAAGGAGCAGAGATCAATCTCACACACACACACACACTCCTCTCATCAACCATCATCCACCTGCCCAGGCCGGCTGCCGTCCCCTTCAGCCCCTCTCGCACATACATATAGTCATTATTGATGTCCCCCCTCGTCATGTCATGAGAGTTTCAGAGCCTTTAAAATAAGTTCCACCACATTTAACTCTTTTTTTTTTAAAGCTCGTCTTTTAGTCTAACTGACTTTTACTCTTAAGACTCATAATCAAAGGCACTAACTCGGAGGTAATCTTTCGTCTTTGTTGAGATTGGTGTATTTCCCTCGGATTACTCAAACTAAACATCTGCCACCTGGCTGCTTTCAAATCTGACAGCCACTTACCCCAGATGTCATTAATTTATCTCCGCGTCTCGGAGGACTTCTTTTTTTCCTTCACAATCCCTGTGTCATGCAATATGTCACTGGTGAATATACGAGGGGAAGGGGGGGTGGCGGGGGAGCAGGGAGAGGAGAGGGGCGGAGGGGGAGGTGTAAAGGTTAAGGAAATAAGTCATTTGGAGCGGGCGGCTTTTATTGTAACGAACCCAATGAGGACTATATATCGTTCATCTCCCTCCTCCGGGTGGCGGGCGGTGACAGGCCGAGGAAGAGATGAGGCCTGATGAGAGGGACGGTCCTCAGAGAGACGGGCTGAAAGGTTAGACCGGCCCCGGGCAGCATGGCTGATGAGCGCGCACCCCCCGTGCTGGGACGCCTTCGTGTGGGTTCCATTAAATAGGCCATAAAAGCTCAAGAATAACGACCACACCAGCAGAGACGCGGGCTGCATGACGTTGCTTTCAATGTCATAATTAACATTTTGTTGATTTTAGGATATCAACCCAATCTCATTCAGCCCAATGTAACAGATCTGCTTTACAACACCCCCCCCCCCCCCCCATTGCTTTGCAGCAGCGACGGCATGGAAGCAGCAACAGGCCAATCGTGTTAACACGAGGCCGGCAAAGTGTCTGCATCGATTTAATTTGGCAATTACTAAACGGGCCTCATCTATCATCACCTTAAGCTTTCACAAACTTCTCCGCGAGATGTAATAAGACGGAGGAGCAATCTGTCCCCGACTTCTCATTAGGACTCCAAAGTGACCCCCCTCATCACCCTCACACCCCCCGAAGCTTAATTATTTATCTGCATTAATATCCCTTGTATTATTAATGGTAGGTGAGTGTGTGTCTGCGTGTGTGTGTGTGTGTGTGTGTGTGTGTGAGGGCCAAAGATCAGCCCTCCTTTACCTCAGCCTCCCTCCTGATTAATGGATGATGGAGAGGAGCCCTTCATGTATTATTACTGCAGAGAAGCTGGACTTTGGAGAGAGAGAGAGAGAGAGAGAGGGGAAGCTAAGTGAATGATAATTGCAGTTTAGTATGCAAACGTGTCCGCGGTGCATCGCTGGCATTTTAATACTAATGGCAGAGAGCGATGGGGTTGAGACTCCGGCCATTGAAAATCCATCCTAGCTGGCGAGATCTCGGCTCAAAGTTAACACCGGATGGCACAAAGTTAGGAAATGTCAAACAA